TAAGGGCTTGACTGCAACAGCCAGAGTTCTATGTTGGGGGATCTTATTGTAATAACATTTCATAGATTTCATAGACATTAGGGTTGGAAGGTACCCTGGAAGATCGAGTCCAGCCCCCTGCCCCAGGGGCAGGAAGTCAGCTGGGGCAAAGGATCCTAGCAAGATAAACACCCAAATGTCTCTTAAAGGAGCCCAGAATAGGTGCTTGCATCACCTCTGGTGGCAGTCTGTTTCAGGCCTTTGGGGCTCAGACAGTAAAGAAGTTCTTTCTTATGTCCAGCCTGAAACGGTCTTGGAGGAGTTTGTGACCGTTTGACCTTATCATCCCTTGGGGCGCTCTGGTGAATAGTCATTCCCCCAGATCCTGGTGAACACCCCTTATATACTTATAGGCAACCACCAGGTCCCCCCCAAACCTGCGCTTTTCCAGGCTTAAGAGTCCCACGGCTCTAAGCCTCTCATCATAAGGCCTGTTCTGCTACCCACTGATCATGCACGCGGTTCTCCTCTGGACTCTCAAGTTTCTCAACATCCTTTTTAAATTGTGGAGCCCAGAATTGGATGCAATACTTCAGCTGTGGCCGAGTACAGTGGGAGGATGACATCCTGGGATTTGCTTGAGAAGCATATATGGATGCAAACCAGAGTTTTGCTCACTTTACCAGCTGCAACATTGCACTGGTGGCTCATATTCTTCTTGTGGTCAATCATGACCCCTAAATCCCTTTCAGCCGTGGTGCTAGCAAGCCTAGCACTGCCAAGCCTGTAAGCATGCTGCAGGGTTTTTTTTCCTAAGGTGGAGTACCTTGCATTTTTTGTTGTTGAACACCATCAGGTTTTCATCCACCTATTTTATGAGCCTGTTTAGGTCGGCCTGGATCACCATCCTGTCCTCAGGTGTGGACACTCTACCCCAAAGTTTGGTGTCATCGGCAAACTTGGCCAGTCTACTTCTAATGCCAATGTCTACATCAACAATAAAGACATTAAAGAGTATAGGCCCATGGACGGGGGCCCCGCTAGTCATGGCGCACCATGATGATTTACTTCCATCTATTACCACTCTTTGGGCCCAGCCTCAGAGCCAATTTCCCAGCCATCGGACTGGTGATGTAGCCAAGACTGCAGTTGGCCAATTTTTCAATGAGGAGATCATGGGACACCAGATTGAAGGCTTTTTTTTAAATCAAGATATATTGATGTCAATCTCTTCTCCCTTGTCCAGGTGATATGTCACCTGGTCATAGAAGGAGATAAGATTGGTTAGGTAAGACCTACCCACAACAAACCTGTGCTGGCTATCCCTCAGGATGTTGCCATCAGCCAGCTTGTCAAGAATGGTCTCTTTGATAATTTTTTCCAAGATCTTCCCTGGGATAGAGGTCAGGCTGATGGGTCTGTAGTTCCCTGGATCTACTTTCCTCGCTTTCTTGAAGACAGGCACCACATTGGCCTTCTTCCAATCTTCAGGTACTTCACCAGAGTGCCTCGAGTTCTCGAAGATCCGTGACAGGGGCTGAGCTATGATGCCTGCCAGCTCCTTAAGTACCCTGGGGTGTAAACTGTCAGGGCCAGCAACTTGAAGGTGTCCAGCCTCTCAAGGTGTTCCTTCACATGTTCAACATTGATGTAAGGTAACAATTCTCTTCACCCTGGCCATCCCATACCGTATCGAGCAGAGCTGTCCCTTGGGGCTAGTGAAAAACTGACACAAAATACCCATTAAGTAGGTTGGCTTTTTTCTGGGCATTGGTTGTCAGTTGTCCCATTTGGTTTAGCAGGAGTCCAATGTTACCCTTGCTTTTTCTCCGGCTCCCCACATATCCAAAAAAGGACTTTTTATTGTCTTTGATACGTGTAGCCAGTTGGAGTTTAATCACAGCCTTGACTTTCCTGGTTCACTCCCTACAGGTCCAGACCAACGCAGAGTACTCCTCCTTTGAGGTGGTTCCAGTCCTCCATGCAGGAGGTCCATAAGTTCCCTGCAGAGCCAAGGGGGCAGCTGTGCCCTTTTGCTGCCTTTCCTCCAAGATGAAATAGACATTGCTTGTGCTTTCAGGATCGCTCCCTTGAGGAGCAACCACTCATCCTGAACTCCCCTCCTCTTCGGGTCATGGTCCCTTAGGGCCTCGCCAACAAGTCTCCTGAGCTTGTCAAAGTCATCTTTCCTGAAGTCAAGGACTTCAGCATCACTGACTGACTTGCCAGGTTTACGGTGGGTAGTGGAAGTGATCAGCTCATGGTCACTGTCTCCCAGCTTCCCTTCGATCATTAGGTCGCTGACTAGATCATCCCCCATTGCCAGTACCAGGTTGAGCAGCACTTTGCCTCTTGTCGGTCCATAGACTTCTTGAGTCAGATAGAGCTCGTCCACACACATGAGGAAGCTTTGTGACTGTTCAGATTTGGCTGAGTGCTCTTCCCATGAGATGTCTGGGTAGTTGAAGTAGTCTCATTCATGATAGTCTCATTCCAAGCATGTTATTATGAGGTTTGGTTTGGCCTGTGCAGACACCATTATAACCATGTTACTGGTCATCATTGCAGCCATGCTACTGACATGGCCGTAAGATCATTCTGTAACAACAGAGTTGTTTCTTCCACCCAGGTGAAACTTTGCTGTCTCCCCCCAAGAGTCCCACCCCCCATGGGCCCTAAATGGAAATTCTGCATCTGGTTTGGGAAGTTCAGTGTTTCCCATTTCATTCAGACCTTAATCAATGTGGAGTTGCTGAAATAGAGCCTTCTACCAAGCTCCCATAGCAGCCTAATGATTATAGTAAGGGACTTTTCTCCAAACCTGTCCCATCAGTATTTTACTGAGAGTGATCCTTCTCCTTGGAAACTCATGGCTCTGGCTGGGTCAGATCCTGAGTTATTTGTTTGTTCACATTTAAAAATCTTCTTTTCCCAGAAATCTTTACCCCCCCCCCCCTTATTTAAAATCTAAAGGGGGTGTCTGGCTGGCTGGCTAGTGACTATCATCATAGAATCTGAGTTTCTAACAAAATTATGAGAATCAGTGTTTCAAGCCTAGCATGTGATTAGATCCTTTCCCTTCCCTGCGTATCCCCTCTATCCTTGAGTCCATCCTAGCACCCATCTGCTGTTCTGCTTGGGTCTACACATTTTCTGACTACCTGCTGTGATCTTTATCTCACCATCCCATTCATCTCCCCAGGCTGGGCCCATGTCGTCTGTGCTTTGTACATCCCTGAGGTGCAGTTTGCCAATGTGCTGACCATGGAGCCAATTGTCCTGCAGTACGTGCCCCATGACCGCTTCAACAAGGTGAGGCTACCTCTTTTCCCTCCACCCCAAATGCCAGCCCCTTACCCACTGATGACCTTCCTGTCTTCTCGTCTTCCCACTATTTCTGGCACATTTGAGGTTTATTTCCAGGTATATTGTTTCCTTTAGAGACACATGAAAAAGTGGAGTCCTTTTCTTATAAGTTACCCTGATCTCCTCTCTGGCTTACATGACTGCCACTTGTGTATGTCCTTGGATTCCCATTACACCCAACTCATCCTTCCAAAGACAGCACGTTGCCTTGTGATAATATAGGTTCTTATACAGGGTGCCCCCACTTTGGTCTGAACCACGTGGTATTGGAGGGAGGAAGAGAATGAATTGGCCCATGCCTGCCCCCTATTTTGTGGGCCCATAGGAATGAAATTTCATTTGCTTCCTGCAGTATAAGAGTAGGGCTGTCTTTGACCCCTGTGTCATGGAGAAGTGTGCATGTATGCTGAGGGTGGGGAATAAGGCTATCTTTGACTTGGATGTTATGGAGGTCTCTGGTGCTGAGGCTGAATTGAAAACTGAACTAAACCAAGTTCTAGCCTCACAATAAGTGATGCACTGCTTTGCTGCATGCAGATGAGTTTGTGGGGCATGAGGAGAGCCTACCTCTGGCTGCCCACTGTGTGGCCCCATTGGGGTAAACTCACAGCCCACTATTTCCTTTTTGCAGACCTGCTATATCTGTGAAGAGCAGGGCAGGGAGAGCAAAGCAGCCTCTGGGGCCTGCATGACCTGCAATCGACATGGCTGCCGGCAAGCCTTCCACGTCACCTGGTGAGTCCCTTACAGCATTGCCTCAACAACGCCCCCAGCTACTGTTTTCACTGGCACAACTTTGGTGCTATCCTTGGCAGGAGACAAAGGCCCACTGCAAGAGGAGCTGGGCAAATTGCACTGACTTTATCTTATGTGGGTGGAATACTTCTGCCATCCATTGGACATGGAGGGAATTCCCTTGGGGTTGCAAGCTGTGGCAGACAGAGGCCTTCCCAGGGCAGGTGTTGTGAGCAGTGGGGTTGTCTCTAGGACTGGGTGAAATCCAAGGACAAACCAGCTGGCTCACAGCCTAGGAATGTACTTACACAAGCACAGCACATCCAAGAGCATAGTGTGAACAATGTGATTTTTAAAGTCTGGTACCTTGTGCACCCTCAAAGCCAGAAAACAATGCTATTTATCACAGGAAGGCTGGGATTCCCAGCTGTGTATTGGCGACAGCATGGGGTTCTTGCTCAGATGTGTCCCCATGGAATAGCTACTAGTTCCTCAGCCCCATGCTAAAAACAAGAATCACAGGTGGAGCAGATAGAAAATTTCAAAGATTTCAATTTTTTTTTTGCAGTTGTTTTGACCAGCTCTCTGGTGTGGGTGTAATTTTTCTAAAACGTCAAATTTTGGTGAAAACTTTTCCACCATTTTTTTTTTCTCAACTCTCTCTAACGCAAACTGTTTATCAGACAGGCAGGGGTACCCTGAATACTCCAAGCACCCCAGGCCCATGTTTCCCTGATGAAATCTGAGAAGACAAGGCATGTAGTCTGGCTGAGGTTTCTGGTATTTGTGTTTCAGTGCCCAGATGGCTGGCCTCTTGTGTGAAGAGGAAGTCCTGGAGGTTGACAATGTCAAATATTGTGGCTACTGCAAGTATCACTTCAATAAAATGGTGAGTCCTTCTGTCCTGCTAGTTGGTACTTACTCCTGTGTTAAAGGGGGTAAGGCTTCCTCCTGCATCCTCCTGAGAGCTGGTCATGAAAGAGATCCCCAAAACTTATAGACGAGAACCGTAATCTGTGCCATCTGATCCCCAGTTCTTCAATGCCAGCAGTGCTAGCCAGAGCCTAGGAGTAGCTGTTATCCCTGAAAGCCAGACAGACAACTAAGAAAAACTATATAGGCAAGGAAGGGGATAGACAGAGGGTCATGTTATGAAAGAGAATGTCAGAGAGCTCTTGATCATTTTGAATGAATTCAGGTCAGGAGAGCCTAGTGAACTTCATCCCAAGGTACTGAGGGAGCTGGGAGAAGAGATCTCAGAGCCCTGGGCATTATATGTACTAAGTCATGGGAGAAAGCTGAGGTTCCAGAGGTTTGGAAAAGGGCCAAAATAGTGCCCTTCTTAAAAAAAAAAAAGGCAAAAATGAGGACCTGTAGAATTATGGACTGGCTAGCCAAACTTAATACTAGATAAGTACTGGAGCAAATTATAAAGAAGCCGACTTATAAGCATCCAGAGGAGGAAAGGATATTCATGAGCAACGAGCATAGATTTGCTAAGAACAAATTGTGCCAAAAAAATTGATCTTCTTCTTTGTCAAAGCAACTAGTTGGGTGGATGAAAGGAATGAAGTAGACGCAGTGTACTAGGATTTCAGTAAGGTTTTGACTGAGTCCCATGTAACCTTTTCCTAAACAAATAGACTAAATGTGGGCTAGACAAAACTACTGCAAGGTGGATAGTCAACTGGCTTAATCACTGTAATTAAAGGGTAATTATACTTGGATCCATATGAGAATATTAGGAGATTTCAAGTGGAGTCCCACAAGGGTCTGTCCTGAGCCTGGTGCTGTTCGGCATGTTTAATAATTATTTGGGTGCTGGAATAGAGAGCTTCCTGAGCAAATCTGCGGATGGCACAAAACTGGAAAGTTTTGCAAAGACACTGGAGGACAGAAGTAGAATTCAGAAGGACCCTGATAGTTTGGATAGCTGGACTAGAGCAAAAGGATAAGTTAAGTGCTGACAAATGCAAAATGTTATACTTTGGTAAGAATAATCCAAAACACAGATATAGAATGAGTGACATGATTGGATGGCAGTACTGTGGAGGTAAATCTTGGGGCTTTAGTGGATCAGAAACTCAGCATGATTCCATGGTGTGATGCAGCAGCAAAAAAGGTGAATGTTGTTTTGGGCTGCGTCAGCAGCAGTATTAGGTGTAAGACATGGGAATGATAGTGCCCCTGAGAATGACACTCTAATCCAGGGGTCAGCAACCCGTGGTATGCATGCCGAGCATGGCATGCAAAGCCATTTTGCTCAGCACACCACTGCCAACCTGGGCTCCAAGCAGCTGCTGCCAGCCATGGAGCCCAGGCTGATCCAGCAGGCAGCTGGGAGGCTGCAAGCCCTGCTGCAAGCAGACTGGGCTCCATGGTCTGGCTGCAGCTGGGAGGCTGCAAACAGCTGCTCTGGGCTCTGGCATGTCAGCACTGTGGCACCTTCCAAGGTAGACATTGTGTTTTTTTCAGCACTCCGGCCAAAAAACGTTGCCTACCCCTGATCTAGTCAGTTCCAGTTAGGTCTCATCTAAAGTACTGTGTGCAATTCTGGGCTCTGCATTTTAAAAAGGATGTGGAGAAGTTAGAGATTGTCCAAAGGTGGGTGACAAAAAGCTAAGGGCTTTGGAAGGCAAGCCATACAAGGGGAAGTTGAGAGAAATAAGCTTATGCAGCTGGTGAAAAAGGTAATTAAGAAGGAACACAATAGCTATCTTCAGATATCTGAAAGGCTGCCACAGAAGAGGGAGAATGCTTTTCTCTCTTACTGCAGAAAGTAGGATGTATAGCAGTGACTTGAAATTGCAGATTTATATTGGATATCAGGAGAAAATGTTGTCACTGTTAGAAAAGTGAGGCAGTGGAATAGACTGCCTGGGGATGTTGTGGAGTGTCGTTTACTGGACATTTTCAAGAAGAGATTGGATAAGCATTGATCAGGGATTATTTAGGAGTAGCAATGCTTGAAGTGTGCTGTGAAAGGCAACCAGTAGGTGCTCAGGGGACTCCACACATGCATCAGAAACTGGTGAGGATCGTGCTCAGCAGCATGAGAATGAAGCATAGCTCAACGGCTGGCTTGGTTATGAAATTAAATTAAAGAGCTGGAACAAGTTTATGGAGGAAATGGGATGACAGAAAAAGGAGTTGTAACTCTAGTTTGGGTTTGGGATGCATGGAATTGTGTTTGTGGTCTGCAGGTTGCAGTGTAGAGTGGAAGGTGTTTGGTTTCTCCATAATTCTGGGTTGTGCTGGTTGCCACATGAGGCTAAGAAGAATATTTTTCCCCTCCTGTTGCTACAGGTGTTAGGGCAGAGGTGGAGCAGGGCAGCTCCATGCCTGGGGTAGCAGCTGCGCACAGGAAAACACTGGCTGTCATGGTGCCAATGACAGTGGCATGTACAGCCACTGCTGTAGTGGCTGCTGTTTTTGCGCCCTCCCCTCCTCCCCCCCACTGCTAAAAGTAGCACCCAGGACTGTTGCCCCAGTGGTCCCTCAGTTACACTGCTATGTCATGGGGGGGAGGTTTAACCATCCCCATAAACATTGGGTGTCAGATGCAGCCAAGGCTGGGGACTTTGATGAAAGTGCACTGAAGCACCTGCTGGGACTGAAAGAAACCCTAGAGGTTCCTGACTAGAGGGTCTTGCTTCTCCATCCAGAGTCAGACCAGTTGCCACATAGGGGATCAGGAAGGAATTTCACCCTGCGATCAAATTGGCATGGACTGTAAAGGGTTTTGCTTTCCTGGTGGGGGACATTGTCTCCTTCCCTGGAGCTCTCAAGTGTATTTTCAAAAATGATTTCCTGTCCTTGCAGTGGCAAGACATGGACAAGTCCCCTTATACCCCTGCTTTACCTATGGCGAGTTAGGGTGTCCATGATGTTTTGGGGCAATATGCTTGATAACTGTGGAGGAGGGTTGCTTGTGCAGTTTTAAGGCTGGATTAGTCAAACATTTCTATGCATCAGCTTAGATGGGAATGATGCTGCCTCAAGCAGGGGACTGGATGGGGTGACCTCCTGAGGTCCATTCCAGCTCTACTTTTCCAGGAATCAGTGATTTCATTAGCATCTTTAATTCTTTTAAGCAGCTACAGATCCCTTATCCTGGCCTCCTGCTCAGGCCTCTGTGCACCACTCTGGGTGGGGCTGTAAATGAGCCTCAAGGGGCCAAGAGAAAATTTTCCAGATGCATAAACCTCTTAGAGCCGATGTAAGCAGCCCAACACTGCTTCTGATGTGCAGCACAGCTCTGAGACCAGGAAGGATAGTAACCAGAGCACTGCAGGGGTGCAGGGCTGTAATGCAGCCTTCAGGCTATAGGGACACAGCCTTAACTTTTGCCCTTCACAGCAGCTCAGAGGTTATACAAAGCCACCTGGGAGATGCAGGACAGTGTATCTGGTGGTGACATATGCACACAAGCACACACAGTCCCAGGAAAATGGACCCAGGATGCTGCCTGGTATTCAGGGGGGATGTGGGGTGAGGAGACGGGAGCTCTCCCTCCTCCCTGCTTAGACACAGGGCACAAAGTCAGAAGAGGGTTCCTTTTTCTGCACTGTCACAATTTACATATACTCCTTCTCTCCACCACTGCTGAAGAGGAAACCTGATCCTTTCACTACATCCTTTACCTCTCAGTGGCTCCTTTGTTTGCTGGCTTTTCTCAGTCCCCTTCCTGCTTATCAGAGCTGCCACATTCAGTGAGTAAGGTGTTCAGCCCTCTCCCCAAAGTCAAACCAGAGATTGCATTCTCTGCTTGGCTATTTCCCATGATTACCCAGGACAGCTATGGTCCTGTATCTTGTTTGTTGATGCACGGAGAAGCAGTAATACCTCCTCTCACAAGGATCTGAGCACGGCTTGCCTCACCCACTGCCCTACCGAAGAGTATTGACCATGCTTAGGGCAGAGCTTAAACCACAGGCTTTGGGTCTGGAGCTAGAAACTAAACAGTAGTGCTCAGGGGAGGCTAGTGGGGTCTGTCTTGTGATGTGTCCAACCTTGTGGCAGTCCAGAGTGGTGTAAATTATGTCAAAGTATTGCTGCTGGTAGAATTTGCCTCCTCATCTATACCATTCTCACAACGCTTCACCCACAGGCTGGGTCTAGCCCCTCCTGTTTCCTGATACACATCTTTGTGCATTAGCCATTTAATATATAGGAACCAAGTCATCTCCCTTTAAATAGTTTGTGAGCCCTCTAGCGCTCACTGTGCTCTGCACTTTGGAAACCAGTCAGAGCAGCAGCAGGCAAAGGTGACTGGGCTTTCCATGTTGTTTGTATTTAGTAAACATGGTTATTGGGACCCAGTGCCCCATGCAATTTGTTCTGACCCTGATTGCTGTGGAAACAGGAAAAGATGTGCAACTGGACTTTGGGCGGGGGGATTCAAAATGGGAAACTGAGAGGGGAAAGGCTGTCTGCCTGAACAGATGGAGAACTGTTGGGCAGGAAAGGGGACATAAGGGAAAGCTTGTTAATCCCCTGTCTCCATTCAGCATGCCCAGGGGGTTGGCTCTAGAGATTATCATGTGCATGTGTAATCTTTTTTCTAGTGAAAGGGTGATGTGCACTGTCCTCCATACCATGGCCTGTCCAGCCTCTGGGAGGGCTTCCCCACCATGGGGAAGTTAGTGTGCAGTAAGGGTAAGTGTGAGTGCACACTGCAGTACCTACTCAGCACTAATTCTCCAGGTGGACACACTTAACATGCCCCAAGCACCTTTGTGTGAGGGAGCATAGCTGTATTTGAAAGTGGAGTAAACTACCTCACCCTTATGCACACTAAGAGTGTCCCCACAGGAGACATGCAAAGAACTAGGGCATTGGTTTACTGCACAGTAACCTCTTGTAGACATGCCCATAGTCTTAATTTTGCAGTAGTGGTAAAGCCCCAGCCTCATAGGCACTGTTTCTCTTTTCTTTTTTGTCTGTTTTCCATCTCTGCCTCCTATCCCCACTTCTCTCAGAAGACATCACGTCACTCCGGAGGTAGCTCCTTCATTGCTGGGAGAAGGAGCCAGTCTGCATCGCCCACTCAGGAGAAGCATGTGTCCCACCATGAGAGGCCAAAGAAGGTAACGTTTACCTAAGGTGTCTTTGTGCAGTGACAGCATAAAGGCAGGCTCATATAAGAGCTGGGAGGAGGGTAAGAGTCTATGCAGAATGCAGGAATCCTATCTGATGTGTCATTGCGATGCAAAGGTGTTCACAGCTGGAGATTTGAACATTGGAGTGTCTTTTCAAATGGACCTCTGAAAACATGTCCACCAATTATAGAAGCTAAACCATGTGTTCATGTTGAGTGCTCAGTTTGCATGTACAAGGTGGACCCCATGCCATGTGACACTCTTACAAAGCATGCGCTACATTCCCTCTCTATCTAGTAGTTGATGCTCACTGAGGATAAAATTGGGAAGCCCTGATGCCTAAAGGTTGTTGTCCAAAATATTTGTTATAAATGAAGCTACCTAAAACATCAGGCTTGTAGGGATCAAAGGTCTGTTGGCACTCCCCAGTCAAGAAACAATGCACTTGATGTTTCAGCCATAAGTATCAGTACTGGTGAGATAACAAACCTTCTGTCACCCCATTGATGCAACTCTCCCAGAACCAAGTATTGCTGCAATACAGCCCCTCAACTCTCTGTCCACAGCAATGCGGTGGACTGTGAGCCTACTACAGCAAAACGGTTACTTTCTAGCTGGCCACACTGATGTGTTTCTCAGACTTAGTGGGCCAGATTCTGCTCTTTGATTTTTATGGTATAAACCCAGAGTGATTCCACTGAAGTCACTTCAGATTTACACCAGTATAACTGAGAGCAGAGTTTAGTTCATTACTTAATGCAGCTAAAGAGCCTATTGTCAACTGGCATGTGAACTGCTGAAATCTTGCCCAAAGTAGGTGGCTTTCTAGGTTTTATTTTGTCTTGTTTTAATTCTGTGCCCCTCCAAGAAATTAATAAACCAACTCACATCCAGTGCAGATCAATCATCATAACCAAAATCTAAAATAATCTGTGGGCTCTTAGGTGATTTCTGTGGAATGAGCTTGGTGGGCCTTCCTCTGAGCAGGGATTTCTACCTCACAGAAGCAATATGGCCACAGTTAACACTGACTGGCTTGCTTTCTGAATAGCTCAGCCAAGAAGGCAGGGACTGATTGGCCCATGGGCACCTCTTCCCTTTTCCGTATGAAAAAGACTGCTGCTGATCTGGGCTGAGACACACCATCTGGTGTGACAGGTGCATGTGGGGAAATTTGCCCATGCCATACCTCTGGGGTATCAACCTCACCTTGTGCCTCAGGCTGGATTCAGATGGCCAGCTCCAGCTTGGGGTATGGGGCAGCAGCAGACAACGCAATGGCAGTGGGGCAAGCAGGCATGGGCCAGGTGGCCGCTTGCCATGGCAGAGACAATGAAAAGGTGGTGGGCTAGGCAACTGCAGGACAAGAAAGAGATGTGTTGCCACAGTCCTTGTTCAGCTCCTGGCTGCCAACAGACATGTTGACTGGGGCCTCAGGGCACTGAATTTTGTGGTAGACCCTGCCCACTGCTAACCATGCCCATCAATTCATTGGCCCACTGGTAGCCCAGCAGGCCAGCTGGAGTAGCTCCACAGCATGGATCTGGCCTCTGGGCCATATGTTTGACCCCCTTCTGCCACCATCCCTGATCTATAGTCAAACAAGGGAGACGTTGGTTCCCAAGGTTTCATATAAATTCATGTTCACCTTGTGGCTGACACCAAGTCTGTAAATTTGCTACGGTAGACAAGGCTAAAATATATGGAGGAGTATTTACTCCTCTGATTTGTATTCAGCTTCTAGGAGGAGAGGAAGAAGAGGAGCTAGAGAGAGAGAGAAAGAGTGCCTGTGTCATGTGTAGAGAAAGAGAGAGAAAGAGCTTGGCACAAGGTAAACCACTGTAATGGAACAAGCTATTTTTAGCTAGCAACCAGCCAGAGGGGAAGGGGGAGGGAGAGGGGGACAGGATCAGTATGATTGAGGGGAGCTTTGGAGAGCTCAGCTGTGATTATAACTGACAGACTGTGTGAGGCCAAGGCTTGGGACTGTAAGAAGGTTTCCATATTTACGCAGATTTTGGCAGCAGGAGCAGGGGAGGGGGCAGGGTGGGGGGAATCACAGCCATGTGACTATCAGGTATGAGTTTAGGAGGTCTGTCTGTAACCTAAAGCTGGAAAACAGGTCAGCGCCTGAGGGGAGGCAAGACGAGAAGGAGTGCATCTTTATAGGCATTTCGGTCAGCATCTGGGCTCCTCGTCAACATAGATGTAACTCAGACCCATAATTCCTGCCTGGCCTCCAGCACTGGAGGATCAGCATTATGTTTGTTCAGTGCCTAACCTAACCCATGAGTACCCACATCTGGATCTGGGACTCCTACATGATACTCCAGTTCAAAGATATTAATAGTCGTCATCTTCCGTTTACAGCTAGGGAAGTAGACACAGAGAAGTTGAAGTGCAAGCTACTTTTTGAGAAGGGAGGGCAGGGGAAGAAGTGGTTGTTGCAGGCAGGAGAATGAATGACCTGGCTCTGCAAGGTGGCAAGTGCCCTCAACTGCACTGAAGCCCATGGGAGTCATGGGTACTCAGCAACTCACAGGTCTAGGCCCCATTACTTGCTGAGGTACAGGGATGCCAGGATGACCGAGGAACACAGGCTGTGCATCTGCCTCAGCCTCTCAAAGGCAACCTAAAGGGCTGGTTAAAAGCCATCAGTCCCCAGATCTTCCTGTGGGAAGGGTCTAGTAGAGATCAGGGAGAAGGCACTCAGGATTCTTGGGTTCCCTTGCTGCTTCTACACAAGACCTTGAACAAGGTCACTACATCTCCCATCTCCCTGTCTGAGTCTGTTTTACTACTTGGGATGTGAGAATTGCAAGAGTGAGCTCCTCTTTGATCCCACCCTGCTCCTGAGGGAGCATTGAAAGACTGGACTCTTATCAGTAAAGCTTTTGGAGAGCCTGGGATGAAAGGGGTCAAGATGGTAATACTGATATATTTTTGTGTACTGATAAAGAGCTTCTGGTATCCTGTCCTTCTGTCTGGCATTCAGAAGAAGATTTCTAGCCCTGCTAGAGATGGGTTCATTCTTTGTAGCTATCTTTCTTCTTTTTTTACGCTGCCATCCATCACTGTAGCATCTGAATGCCTTCCATGTAAAACTGAAAGCAGTACCAAAGTCCCTGGTGGACTTCCCACTGCTGCTAAGTTTTTGCCCAGTGATGTGGTGGCTCCATTCCCTTGTCCAGTTTTAACTTAGGAGGAGGAGCCTGGGTAGTAAAGACTCTAGTGAAATGCCCAAAGCAAGCCCGTGCTTCCATCAAATCTTACACCTTTGTCAACATATGCTACATGCATATGTGAGGAAGTCATGCCACTGTGTGACATTCCAGCATAAAAACACAACCTTGTTCTGGTGTCACATTGCTATGCTATGCTCACTGTCCCATAAAGGTGTGATGAACCCCTGTAGATTAGTGCCTTTCCTGGTAAGGTTGCAGCAGGAGGAGACAACTTTGTGGATTTCTCTTGAGTCAAAATTAGTTCCCTTTCTGCCATGGTTTCAAATCTTGGATAGGTCAATTCTGCCTAGGAATACTTGGCCAAATTCATTACTGGTATATTTCCACTGGAACCAGTGGGCCTCAGTCAAGTTGTATGAAAAGTGGGTTTTGTCCACTAAATACAGAGTAATTCTTATAGATGCAGACTTTGAAAGAGGGATCTTTTCAATGGTGCATGGTCTTTGTAGACCACATGGAGCATTTCAGAGTCAATGGGCTTTGCAGGCCATCCTGGGACAAAACCATACTTCCTGTCTACACTCATTTGCTGTGCAACAGACTGGGCACTTTTTCACCCCAGAGATGGCAGCATTTCAGTAGAGCTGTATGTGTATAAGACCCTCCTAAGGTCCTTAAGTAGGACCCAAAGCTGCAGATGCAACTCACTGTAGGAAAGGGGGGAGGTGTGGCAGAGCATTTGAGGCATCTTGCTGCAGCTCCAGGAGTGTGAGTTTGATCCTTACATAGGACGAATGCCAAAACCTGTCCCTGTTATAATTGGGTACTTGATCATTTAGGCTAGGGAGTCAAAAGCAACTAGACATAACAGTAGACACATCACTTCCTTGTGTGCTGTTGGCTACAGAAATCATTGTAACTTACCCATGCCAGCCTACTGGACTTAGGGACCTTTGACCTTGACCTCTCTGTAATGAGCACTTCATTTGCAGCATTAAGGACAGGAGTTTCTATTTAGTCTTTCCTCAAGCAAAACTCAAGAGCAAAGTGACAACTGAGTCAAAACAGTTTAAAGAGGGAATAAGGAGCCTGAGGCTGCTGGACCAGAGTGGGAATTTTGTCTGAGAAACACTGACTAGAAAGCGAGTCAGGGCTTCAGGAATGGACCTCTAGGCTCCGCTGAATAAGAGCTTGTAGTTTGATTTATTTGGGACAACAGACATTTATTATGGTGAGACACTCCTAACCTGATATTTATAGCCCTCTTGCATGCAGCCAGTCCCTTGTAGGTTGAGATGATCCAGGCAATACTATCTCAAATGTTTCCTTCTGTTTTGCTGTTCTGAAAATGGGAAGCTTTTGTTTTTAAGGCCAGTTTCTTCTCTGACTGTACCAGGGCGTTAGCAAAAACACCACCATTGCTTTCTTTGAAGCTTGGCATTTCCAAAGAGTGTGCTCATTTCTGAACCCTGAGGGAGCTTTTATCTTTTTTTGTCTTTAAACAATAACTAAATAATGAGAAGGGATGGCATACAGATGTTGAATGAGATACAGATGTCCCATCACCCATCCATTTGTGCTGACATTTTACAAAACAGCCCTGCCCTGCACAGTGATATTCACCATGCACCCAATGTTCCCAGGAATAGAGAGATGGAAGTAGGGACTTTTTCCTATATGAAATAACACAACTTTAAAAAAAATGTGTATAATAAGTAGATCCTTAACTGGTGCTGTTCTCAGTAACACTGAGGGGCCCTAAAAAAGTTCGTGGGTCCATTGAGCTTGGTGCTGTACATATCA